GGTGGGTAGTGTTCTCGGCAGGCTTCAAGATGTCCTGCCGAGAGGCCACAAGGGTTATAGTTCCAGCCAAGGACAGCCCCTAAGAGCAAGTGTGCAGATCTGCAGAGGGCAGAGCTATGCGTTTCCCGTTTCTGGCATGTCTCAAAGGCTGGGGCAATCCCTCCATTCTTGCAGTGGAAGCTGCAGATCTTGGCTTGTCCGGGGGCCTTTCTCTGGGAGCCATTTATTTATTTATTTGGTTGGGTTTTTGTTTTTTTTATGTATATGGGTGTTTTTGACTGCATGTATGTCTGTACACCACATACGTGCCTCGAGCCCTTGGAGGCCAGAAGAGGTTGTCAGAACCCTGAGGTTAGAGTTACAGGTGGTTGTGAGCTGCCATGGATGTGCTGGGAACGGAACCCAGGTCCTCTGTAGAGTTCTTAACGGATGAGCCATCTCTACAGCCCTTCCAATAAATCTTATGTCTTCTTCCTTCCAAGAGTACCTTAGCAGCCTTGCCCCCACCTTTAGCTACCTGAACCGTGAAAAGCCCTTGGGCAGCCTGGTCTATAGAGCCAGATAGGCCCTGATGGGCTGTGTGTATACACAGCCGAGGAGCAGACTGGAACCAATCAGGAAGAAGCTTTCAAATCTGGACAGGAGGGCTCTCATTTGAGTCCAATGCTCTGTTACCCTTCCTGCCATGGGGTTGAGGCAAGCGGGTACTGAACCAGTGAAGGGCCCCACAAGACAGGCTGCCCTTTCTGGGGGCTGGGGTGATGTTCTGGTCACCTTTGCACAGTGGGCTGCCGTGATCTCCATCTGGAGCCCCCGTCCCCGTCGTCCCCTCCCCTCGTCCCCCTCCCCCGCTGTCACGGCTTACTCCAATAGGATCCTTCACTGCGCACTGGGCATCTGATCTCCGACAGTGGTTCCAAGCTGTCAAGCAAAGTCTGTTCCTGGATGCAATTGCCCCTGGGCTTTATCTGTCTGCTTCCCCTTCATTTCTGGCTGCCACTTTGAGGACAGATGGTCCCCTCCTACCCCTATGGATGCCATGCCATTCTCCAGTGCTCTCAGGATCCTTTGATAAGGTGTCTTGAAATGTGTTACCTGAGGCAGTTGTTCCGGGGTTGGTCTGTGTGACCAATAAAATTTGCCAAAAGGCATGTGTCTTTGTCTTTCCACTGCTATAGCAAATATCATAAACTGGGTAGCTGATAAAGAATGAATGGGGGTTTACTTAGCTCTCGGTGCCGAAGGCATGGCACTGACCTGGACAGGCTCTGGTGAGGGCCCCTCACTACATCATGACATGGCGGAAGAAAGCTCATCAGGTGAGCCACCTTGGGTCTTACTTCTTTTCATAGAAGTACTAATGCCATTGTGAGGTCCCACTCCCATGACCTTTTCTAAACCTAATTTCCTCCCTGTCTCCGTTAGGGTTTCTATGGCTGTGAAGGGACACTGTGACCACAGCAACTCTTATAAAGGAAAACATTTAGCTGAGGTGGCAGGTTAGTTTCAGAGGTTCGGTCCATTATCATCATGGTGAGACATGGCAGCAGGCAGGCAGTCATGGTGCTGGAGAGGTGGCTCAGAGTCCTACATCTTGCAGGCAACAGGAAGCGATCTGTCTCACTGGGCCTGGCTTGAGCGTATATGAGACCTCAAAGCCCGCCTCCACAGCGGCACACTTCCTCCAACAAGGCCACACCTCCTAATAGTGCCACTTCCCTTGGGGGCCATTCTCTTTCAAAACCACCACACTCCCTGAGACCCCATCTGCAATGTCATTAGCAGCGAGCGTATGACTTTGGGAAGTAAAGTTTTCAGTACGGAAGCTATGGGTGACAAGTATTCAAACAGTAGTTTCCAACTAGAGCACACCATTTCTGAGATTAGGCCAAGGTTACTGAATTCTGAAAAATTTGAGCTCTGATGTGTGTGTGTGTGTGTGTGTGTGTGTATGTGTGTGTGTGTGTGTACGTGAATGTGCATATGTGTGCGTGAGTGCCAGTGTGTGCCTGTGTACACGTTTTGTGTGTGTGTGTGTGTGTGTGTGTGTGTGGTGTGTGGTTTTCTTTCTTTCTTTTTTTTTTTGTGATGATTTGCATTAGGGGAACAAATTGGGGGGGGGGGTGACTGGAGCCATACAAGAGGCCATAGGTTGGAGAACTGACTGAGCTTGGAAGCACGCAGCCCAGCTGAGGGCCTGAGTAGAAGCTCTCCAGAAACCCTGGGCAGCATGACCCGCTCCAGCTACCCCCAGGGCTCTGACCTCAGACCCTGGTGTGCTGTTTAGTGCCGTAAGCTGCCAGGAGATTTGTTCTGCAGCAAGATCATGACATCCTGCCTGGTCACCTGGCCTCTTGCTCAGGATGTGTAAACTGGACACAGGTTATCTTTCTCTTTGCCTCCCTCCCTCTTTTTCTTTATCCCTCTTAAAACAAGACAAAAACAACAACAAAAATTATCCTGAAGTAAATCCAGCCACCACATTCTCCACAACATTCAATTGTTTTGTTTTGTTTTTTCATGATTAAGAAATTTTCTACTCACTCTACATACCACCCACAGACCCCCCCTCCTCCCTCCTCCCATCCCCCAGCCCTCTCTCCAAAGCCACCCCACATCCCCACATCCCCAAAATCAAGATCTCCCATGGGGAGTCAACAGAGCTCAGCACACTGAGCCTAGGCAAGTCCAAGCCCCTTCCCACTGCACCAAGACTGCGCAAGGTGTCACACCACAGGCACGGATTCCCAAAAGCCTGCCTGTGCACCAGGGACAGATCCCAATCCCCCTGTTTTTAAAGAACAGCAGCTACCAACTGGGTTTGTTCTCGGTTAGTTTTAACACAAAGCCAGAGGAACATGAAGCATCATGGGATTTGATTGGCTCAGCGTGGAGGCTGGGGGCTGAGGTTTGGGGAAGATCGTGAGTGCCAGTCTGGACATGCTGAGCCGGGAGGCACTGGCCTGCAGTCAGAGACTCCAGAGAAGGAAGACTTGGGTATTGTTGACCTGTTGGCAATAGCTAAAGCCAAATGTTTAGAGGGTCCCCTTGCAGGAAGGACTCTGGCTGAGAGCTCCTGTGCCTAAGAAAGGACTTGATTCTATTTTATTACATTGTATTTACTTGTTTATTCATCCAGTGTGTACATGCGTGTGTCACGCATGTGAAGGCAGGACAGCGTGAAGCTGGTTCTCTGCCTTTGCCATGTGGATCCCAGGGCTCGAACCTGGATCGTAGCCCTTGTCTGCTTTAACTCACTGAGCCATCTGCCAGACCTTTTCCCTTCCTTCCCTCCTCCCTCCCTCCCTTCTGAGACAGTGTCTCATGTAGCTCAGGCTGTCCTCAAACTCATTATTAGCCAAGGATATCCTTGAACGGCTGCTCCTCCTGCCTTTCTCTCCCAAGGGCTAGAGTTACAGTTATGCACCACCACACTTGGTTTAGGCTGTGCTGGGGGTGTAACCCGGGCCTCCTGCGTGCCAGGCAAGGGCTCTACCAACAGAGTTCATCCCCAGCCCCCAAGCAAATGCTGCTCTGTTGAACTTGAGACTCTGTGGTTTTTGTTGTTGTTGTTGTTCTGAGACAAGGTCTTGCCGCGCAGCCCAGCCTGGCCTCCAAACTGACTTTCCTGCCTCGGGCTCCTAAATGCTGGGGTTACAGGCTTTTTGCCATCACACTCGGCACTGTTTAACCAAACATTTACATGATTGCGTAAATCAGTCAGGACACATTGTTCTGCCTGTTACAGAAAGTTAGGCAGAGAGAAGCACCCATACAGGCGCTCTTCCGGTTCCCACACCCCCATACAGGCGCTCTTCCGGTTCCCACATCCCCCATACAGGCGCCCTTCTGGCTCCCACATCCCCCATACAGGCGCTCTATTGCCTCCCACATCCCCCATACAGGCGCTCTTCCGACTCCCATCCCCCATACAGGCGCCCTTCCGGCTCCCACATCCCCCATACAGGCGCTCTTCCGGCTCCCACATCCCCCATACAGATGCTCTTCCGGCTCCCACATCCCCCATACAGGCGCTCTTCCGACTCCCATCCCCCATACAGGCGCTCTTCTGTCTACCACATCCCCATACAGGCGCTCTTCCG